GAGAAATTAGAAATTTAGATTTCTGTGAGAAATCTTTGGGAAAAAAAAAAAAAAAATATATATATATATATATATATATATATATATATATATATATATATATGAATTTAAGGTTGAACTGCCAATGCCAAATTCAGCCTGCCAACTATAGTCTGCAGTTTTGGGTCTGCCCAGTTTGAGTAGAGAAGGGATCAATTAATGAATGATTTTTCTTTGTGCAGCAATCCTACCTAGACTGCTACAGTCTTTTATAGTCGATGTCACATACTAGCTCTTAGTTACTCCTTGTCTTGCTCTTCATTAGTGTTCAGGCCATTCTTTCTAACGAGGCAAGAGGTGGGGACCAGTGAGGGATCATGTCTTAAACTTATGTACCTCACAGGCATATAAAAGCGCTCTAAAAAATTAGTATAAAGACTGGTTAATTACTCAGAACTATCATTTCCTCCTTTGATAATGGAGGAACACATCTCTAGGGAATTAATTATTTTATCTTGCTGGTGCATATTTTCCTGTTTGCAAAGAGCTTGGGATTCATCAATGTCTATTAAGCTTTAAAATGTAATTGTCGCCGTAGCTGGTTTGGCTCAGTAGGTAGAATGTTGGCCTGCGGACGGAAGGGTCCTGGTTTTGATTCTGGTCAAGGATATGTACCTGGGTTGCAGGCTCCTCCCCAGCCCAGGCCCTGGTTGGGGTGCTTGCAGGAGGCAACCAATAGATGTGTCTCTCTAACATCAGTGTTTTTGTCTTTCCCTCTCTCTCTTCTACTCTCTCTAAATATCAATGGAAAAATATCTTTGGGTGAGGATAAAAAAAAATAATAATAAAGTTTCAACTTTAAAAAAATGCAATTGTCTAAATAAGTCAGAAATACAAAGTCCAATGTATTAACCAGGTCTTCTCTAGTTGCAAGTAATAGGAAAGCTAAATTCACATTGCCTTAGGTAAGATCTAGTTTACTGGTTCCTAGAACTAAAACCTCCAGAGGTGGAGAGTTCAGGCACAGGTTCAGGAGCTCAGACAATGCTATCTGTAGCCCTCTTTCCCTCATTGCTTGGCTCTCCTCTTCTTTGCATGAGCGTCAGCCTCAGTGGACTCCCTCCATGTGGTAGCTTCTGGCAATTTCAGGTCTAGTTTCTGGCTGCTTCTCTTCCTGGCAGATCCACAAAATTCCTAGTCTCCCTGGACTAATTTGGGATACTTGGCAATCTCTGACCAGACCACTGGCCAGGAATGGGTGTATTAATCAGGGCTTTTCTAGTTGCAAAGGGATAGGAAACCTAAGTTCAAACAGCCCGAGTCTGGGTCACTTGTCCATCCCTACGAGCCAGTGGTAGAGGAGCTCCATCCAAGCAAAGCAGGGAGACGCAGGCCAATGTCTCCATAAATGGGCCCACTTATGGCCTCGCCCTCCAGCCACTTCCAGGGGCAATGGCCATGGAGAGGGGCCGGGTGGGGGCAATGTGGTAGAAGCTATGTTTATATAGCATTTATATTCCTGCCGAAGCCGGTTTGGCTCAGTGGTAGAGCGCCGGTCTGCGGACTGAAGGGTCCCGGGTTCGATTCCGGTCAAGGGCATGTACATTGGTTGCGGGCACATCCCCAGTAGGGGGTGTGCAGGAGGCAGCTGGTCAATGTTTCTCTCTCATCGACGTTTCTAGCTTTCTATCTCTCTCCCTTCCTCTCTGTAAAAAATCAAAAAAAATATATTATATAGCGTTTATATTCCTTAACAGGAATCAAAACTGAAAACCATCCGCACCAAATAATGGAGGAGACGGGATGGATAAAACAGGGAAATGGAGGGGGCTAGTAACCCCCAAGTCACCCCTTGGTGCCATCCCTGTAGCATATTTAATTTGTGGGGGAAGCAAGGGCCTAGGCGGACTACCAGTGGCCCAGCTACATGCAAAACAATCCCTGGAAAGGACTTGCTCTAACCACATAGACTAATTATTAGTCCCCACACATGGATCAGGTCAGTATTTCCAAAGTCCTAGACAAAGATGCATAAGGGAACACTGTTCCTATTCAGTGTTTTCTTCCATATAAATGTCCAGACCTCCGACTGATGGGGGAAACATCATAAGGCAGTTTCACAGGACCCAGCTTCCATCTTCGTGCTGCAGCAGAGGGGCAGTTGGCCTTTCAGATGCCGAGAGCCATGTTCGTCCACAGAACTATCACATGACTACTCATTTTGCATGGTAGATTCTTTCAGGGCCTTTCTTTTTTTTCAAAGAAATTTATTTTTTAAAATATATTTTATTGACTTTTTTACAAAGAGGAAGGGAGAGGGATAGAGAGTTAGAAACATCGATGACCAGCCTGCAACAAGATACATGCCGCTGACAGGAATCAAACCCGGGACCCTTTAGTCCACAGCCCAACGCTCTATCCACTGAGTCAAACTGGTCAGGGCCCTTACTTTCTTTTACTTACTAACTTCAATGCTTTGAGTGAAGGTGAAAACGGCCAGGCAATGTCATGGGGATGTGATCTGCCTTCCCAGTCCTCTTGCCCCCCTGCAGGATTTCCCTGCACGGGGGAGAGAAGGAAAAGAACGCGTCGCTGTACTTGCATTGCAGAGACATGCTCACTTAGTTTTGCTTACTGCTCCCATCTGTCTCAAGCACTGTTGTTTCTTTCACTCTGAACATCTGCGCTCCAAGAAGGCATGAACTTTTTCTTTCACTTCCTTTCTTCTTCGGGTGATGACCTGACCTCACTCTTTTGAGAAGGAGCCCGGCAGTCACTGCGTATAAACAGTCACCCCTCTCTGGCTTCCACAGAAAGGTAGGGGTTGGCGGAGCCCGCAGGGCGTCTGGAGGTAGGAGATGCCAACCAAGGTGCCAAGGTCTCAGGTGCCACACGTGTGCTTGAGTTCTCTGGGCTTTATATCCTGGAGGGCATCATGGGACACACATGTCCTCTGGAGTCTCCCTGAACCGTCTACCACTCTGGGAAGATGCAAGGTGGGCGTCGAGTTGGCCATGGAAGTTGTCATGGGGAAGAAGGCCGTTTGCAGAGGGAGGAGGGCTGGGTATGCTCTCTGCCCCTGAGAGGAAAGGAGAAGCTGATGGAGCGGGACAAAAAGCCCACGTCAAGCAGCGCTGGCCACCCAGAAAGAGAAAGCAGCGGAGGGCAGGCCTCCTGCAGCCAACTACCGCGGGCTTAGGGCACGTATGGTGGCCAGGTGGGCTGGTGGGTGGGGTCGAGGCGCCCACATGCCTTCATCTCCTGCTCATCCTGCTCCCTGGGAAGAGAAAGCCGGCTTGCGAGATCACTTCCTCCCTCAGTCGCGAAGCGTCCGAGGATGAGAATGTGCTGAAGAAATGCTCTCTCTCGGGCTGGCCAAGAGCGCTGAGGATCCAGGAAGATGGTTCACCCGGACTGCGAACGCTTCAGGGGGCTTTCGGCTGGTCCTGCTGCCGCCGCCGCCTCCTTTCTCCGTCTTGGGTCTCGGGTGGCCCCCGGCGCTGCGCGCGGGGCGGGCGTGGGGGATGCTCTTACATAACCGCCCGCCGCGTCCCGCTTCCTCGCGCGCTCCGGAGCCGCGGGGAGGGAGCGCCCGGGACGGCGATGGAGCCGCAGCCGGTGCCGCGGGGCCGAGGCGGCCCCGGCGGGGAGAGCGGCCCGATCTGACGCGGGAGGAGGGCGCGCGAGGCGGCGGCGGGGGAGGTGAAGGTCAGTGGGTGTGAAGCACCGGATCCACACCCCCTCCTCCCTCCCCTGTCCCCTCCTTCCCTTCCTCTCCGTCCCCCTCTGACGTCTGGAGCTGGCAGCTCGGCGGGTTCCGCATTCCCGACCCCTCCCCGCCGCCCCGGGGCCGCTATATAGCCGGGGCTGATGCAACCCGTCCCGCCGCCCGCCACAGCCCGCGGGAGGGACGCTCGGCGGCCGCGACGGGAGGCGCTGGCGGCGGTGGACGCTGCAGCGGCGGCGGCGGCGGCGGGGCTGGCGCCGCGGCGGCTCCCGGGCCGGGACGGGCCTGGGCACCGGGCGGAGCTCGGCGGCCGGGCGGCAGCGGCGCTGAGCGGGCACGGCGCCTGCAGCCGGGCCCCGGCCCCGGGGACGCCGCCTCCGCCCGCGGCTTCTGCACGGTGGGTGCGCGCGCGAGCGCGGGGGGCGCCCGGGCCGGCGGGGCGGGCGGGCGGGGCGCGCCGGGCACCTGGGACGCCCGCCTCCGCGCGGGCGGAGCGCGCCGAGCTCCGGAACCCGGCGCCCTGCGCGCGGGGAGGCTCCCGCAGCCCCGGCGGAGGTCGCTGCAGCCCGGGCCGTTCCCGAGAAGCCGCCTGGAAGCCGTGGGGCGTCCCCTTTGGTTCCCGCCCTGGGACGGGAGGCTCAGTCCGCTCCCAGGCAGCCGGGCTCTCTCTCCGCCTCCCTCCAGCGCCCTTCTCCCCGTGCGTTTGCCCACAGGCGCCCGCCTCGGGCGGCCGGCGGGGAAGGCGGGTGAGTGGGGAGAACACTGCCTGGGGGAGACGGGCCTGGGGGTGCAGATGGGAGGGGGAAAGGCCAGGGACTTGCAGGGTTCTTGGGTGTGCGTGGGGAGGATGACAGGGACCGGCTGGCAAGTGTGCCGCCCCCACCCCCTGGGAGGGTGGAAGCGTGCCTCCCTGAGGACTGGAGAAGGCCCGGGCCTCTCTCCATCCAATGAGAAGTGCTTCTCTGGGGGCATTGCTCCCGGGTCCTGGGATGGAATGAGGCTTAGGGGGCGGCCCGGGTCCGCTCTGCGCTCCCTGGGAGGGCTCCTCAGCCAGGTTACATAAGGAGGCAAGCCCGCTCCCTCTGGGGAACCAGCCCCTTCTCTCCTGACCAGCCCGGTGTAGAAGGCTCTCTGAGCTCCTCCCCTCTAAAGGAGGCTGAGGGATTGGGTCTGAAGGCCAGGACCCCAGACCCTAGGAGGCCCGGGAACGGGGAGGTCTTGGTTCTTGTGCTGGGATGGATGGGCCATGCGTGCGGCTGGAAATGCAAAGGCTGGTGGAAGGAAATTAACTCACCCTTTGGGCCAGCTCCACTTGCAAGGTTGCCTGATCCTGGCCCGGTGTGCAGTCCTCCCTACTGGCATCGAGGGCATTGGGCATGGGGCTGCGTCCTGACCACATGTGCTTAATGCAGATGAACCCAGGCCTGTCACTCAAAAAAGGGCATGCAGACCCAGGGTGCGTGCAGCCAAGTGGGTGGGCTCTCCTCAGGTTTGGGAGCATCAGAGATAGAAGCTTTGAGCCACGACCGGTGCCTGCTTGGTCCTGTAAGGCCTTGCTACAAATTGTGTTCACATATCATCTCCCCAATCTCCCGATCCTAAAGGTTTTTTTTTTTTTTTTTTTTTTTTTTTTTTTTTAAACACACCTCCCCTTGCTTTCATCTTTCCAGCAAATCTGGCTGCAGCTTGGATGGCTGCCTGATCTTCCTCTGCAGGTTTCTAGGGGAGAGTTTAGCCCAGTATCAGGTGTGAGAGTGGCTCTGATTAACCCGAGGACCTGGGAAGAGAAGCAAGGTCTATTCTCGTGCCTCTGGCTGGCTAAGGTTTTGCCTTGTTTAAAACCGGGAGGACGGATTTCTCAAAGGCTCTTCTGTTCCCCTTCTACGTTGGCTTTGGTTCAGAGCTGCAGGCAGCTCCAGAATCTTCCTGAAGAGCCGGGTGCCGTGAGCTTTGAAAGGCTGCTGGAAGGCATGGGCGTGGAGGCCTCTGACTTTTCTCCTGCGTTGTTTGCAGCCCTGTCTAAGGAGCCATGGGGATAAGTGGTAACGGTGTCCCCTAGGGGCTTTGGACATGGATCTCCTCACTCACTCACTCACTCACTCACTCACTCGCTCACTGCTTAGCTTTTTGCAGCCCCCAGCGTCTGTCTCCCCCACCTGTTTGCAATCTGTGTGGGCATCTTTTTAAACCTGCAGAACCCTTGGCAGAAGGAGAAGGCTAGGCTCTCCAGGCCTTGTTTGTCGTGTGGGTCAGCCTGTGTTGCAACGGGCTGTCTCTCTCACAAGTGTTTCTGTTTCCAGCTCTGCTCTGGAAGAGAGGGGTCAGTGCAGGCTCAGGTTGGCCCGCTCTGTATTCATTCAGCCCCAGCTCAGCTTGAGCAATCGGAGCCAGGGCTGAGGGCAAGCAACATTCTTCTCTGCTTTTTTCTGCTGCAGGATGCAGTTTGCTTTTTTTCCATGCGAATGAATTATGCTTGAAACCGAAATGGGAGGAAGAGAAAAATAGAGTGAGTGTGTATGAATATGTGTGTGTGCGCGCGTGCACACACGTGCATACCTATATAGGCAGGGGGAGAGCAGCAGACACATTATTTTTCCATTTTCCTTTAATTAAGGCTCTGTGGAGGTGTGTTTGAAAACAGAGGGTCTCCTATGCCTTTGAGGAGGGTGAGAACACTGTTTTGGCTGCGTCCTGGGCCATATGCAGCGTATGGTGGCCAATGAAACGGGGCCTGGCTCTCTCTGTTGCTTGTCTTGGCAGTCGGTTCCGTGGCTTGTGTTACCAGCTCTGGAACTTACGGGCTGCCAAGCTCCGTGTGCCTGTGTGTGTGTATGTGTGTGTGTACTCTGGTGCGTGCGTGTGGTTTGGCCTCTCGGAGCTCAGCGGAGACAAATGCTGTAGCGACCCAGGTTGGAATTTCAGCCTGTGTTTCTTTACGCTCGCTGCTGGCTGTGGGAGGCCCGGCCAGAGCCCACCGCTCTGGGGCTTTTTTTAAGCCTGTTTTCTTGCGGCAGCCCTTGGGATTCCGGCTGAGGAGCTTCGTTTCCAAAGCTTCAGCAGGGCCGGTGGCGTTTTTAAAAAAGGGCCAACGGATTTATCGCACACCCTGCGTGTATGACTGTGCAGTGTTATCATGCTGGGAGCTCCTGCAGCCAAGGAACCGAGATGGGGTGAAGAGGGAAGAGAGGACAGAGGCTTGCCAGGTGGCAGTTCTTTCCCAGCTTCCTCTTGCAGCTTGGGATAAGGATTCCTGGCGGAAGTAACTTCCTGTGTGTGTGTTGAACACCTACACCAGGCAGGGGAAACAGTGCCCTCAGACAGGGCCTTGTGGGAAGCATTTCTCTGGTCTCCTGGGAAGAACCTTTCCTGGGGAGAGGTTCCAGTTTCTCCCATAGCGGGGATGCCTTCACAGGGGTCATGCATGCCTGTGTGCCCATACCTGGCAGCAGCTTCTGACCGCTCTCCTCCATCTTTTTCTTCTTAGGCAGATCTGAGGGGCGACCCCCTCTAAGCGGACAGGATAGAGTAGGCAGAAGGACACAGAAGATGCTGGCCCTCTGCTTCTGGAGGCAGGGGTGGAGACCTAGCCAGCTGGTGGTGCCAGCCAGCCGTGGAGCTGTGTTCTGGAATGGAGGATGGAGGAGACCTTGGAGAAACTGGGGCAAAGGTCAAGTGCTGGGCCTGGTTTCTGCACCTTTGTATACACAGCTGTGACCTGCCCCCTTGGTTTCTACTCTGCAGTAACCAACTGGATACAGGATGGTCCTGGCCCCTTGGGGTTTAGAGCTGGAAAGTGGGGGAGCAGAGCATCCTCTGGGGGAGTCCTCTTCATGGCTATAGGAAAAGGAGGCCAGTGTTAGGTGGGAACCCTACAGTGACCTTGCGGGGTCGTCCAGCATTTGTGTCCTTCAGGAAGGAAGGCTCTGTGGCTCCACTGACTTCATACTGGGGCAGGCACTGTTCCAGGTGCTTTCCAAGTTTTCACCACTGGAATCCTTACAGGGCACCTACCACTATTATTCCCACTTTACAGCTGAGGAAAGTGAGTCCCAGAGAGGTTAGGGAACTTGCCCAAGTCACACAGCGAGTAAGGGGCAGAGCTAGTTTGCACATGTGGCTGACCTGACTCCAAAGCTCCCCCCCATCACCCGCCTCCCTCTCCTGCCTGAAGAGCTGGGACAGCCACCTGGGGAGGGCCTTTTCCAGCTTGTCCTTGTTCTCAGGGGCTTTCTCCACCCATTTGCTCCTGGCCTTCTGGATCTCCAGGCGAGAGATCATCTCAGATAATCCCTTATCTTCAAGAACAAGTTTACTGTTTAATTCTCCAAGATTCATGATAGTTATTACTTTGTTCTGTGATCACTGGCCTGGCACACCTTTCTCCGCCCACCCTCCCTCCCACCAATACACACTGTCCTGGGAATTTTCCCAGACTCCAGCTTCTAAGACTGCCTACCTGCTATTGGTGATTCCCAGGTACTGGCTATTGGTTCGTTCTCTCTCTCTCTCTCTCTCTCTCTCTCTCTCTCTCTCTCTCTCTCTCTCTCTCTTTTTTTTTTTTTTTAATATATATATACTAGAGGTCCAGTGCATGAAATTTGTGCACTCAGTGGAGAGGAGGTCCCTCAGCCTAGCCTGCGCCCTCTCACAGTCCAGGAGCCCTCAGGCCTGCTCCCCATTAGTCAGACATCCTTAGTGCTGTAGATGAAAAACTCAACTTACATGTACTCACCAGCCATGAGCCTGGCTTCTGGCTGAGAGGAACTCCCCCCTGTGGGAGTGCACTAACCACCAGAGGGCAGCTCCTGCATTGAATGTCTACCCCCTAATGGTCAGTCCACATCACAGCAACCAGTCTTTCTGCCATTCAGTTGATTTGCATATTAGCCTTTTATTATATAGGAGTTTTTATTTTTTAGAGGAGGAGAGATAGGAACATTGATGAGAAATATCATCGCCTCCTGCATACCCCCTACTTGGGATGGAGCCCACTAACGGGCATGTGCCCTGACCTGGAATCAAATTGGTGAACTCCTGTTTCATAGGTTGACGCTCAAATCCCACTAAGCCACACCAGCCGGGCTGGGTACCTGCTCTTCCAACTCCACTAGTGCTCCTGGGGCCTGATCCTGTGACATAACTCCCTGCTCCTTGCCTGTCCTCACTCACCTCCACTATTTCAAATGTTATTCTCACTTGCACACATTCCTGGCTCCTTATTCCAGCCTAGTCAGCTGTTTGCCTGGAGGGGAGCTGACCTTAAAGAGGCCCAAGGATTTGAAAACCTCACTTACACTTTTGTTTCTATGGACAGATCCTAACTTTCATGATGCAGATCCTAACTTTCTCTTAACCTGTCTTATTTTTTTTTTTAACCCATCTTTGCCATTCTAGATGGAGAGGCCAGTTATTGGCACTTTCTAGTAAAAATTGATCCATCAAAGCAAGACTGTTATTTGTAGATACTCCTGTTAAAAAACATGATATTTCATAGATTTACGTACAGTGAAACGAGAAGAAAAGGGGAAAAACTCAACTTACATGTATCTTTTTCCTGTCAGCTAAAAAATGATGTTTCATCTTAATATCTCCCAATAGGGTCCACTTTCTGGACTTGAAATGTTTCCTGGCTTTTCTTTGTTTCTTTGTTTCTTTGTTTCTTTCTTTCTTTTTTTGAATATTTTATTGAATTTTTACAGAGAAGAAGAGAGAGGGATACAGAGTTAGAAACATTAATGAGAGAGAAACATTGATCATCCGCCTCCTGCACACCTCCTACTAGGGATGTGCCTGCAACCAAGTCACATGCCCCCAACTGGAATCGAACCTGGGACCTTTCAGTCCGCAGGCCGACACTCTATCCACTGAACCAAACCAGTTTTGGCTTTCCTGGCTTTTCTGCTTGTCCAAGGCAGCACCCCTATCTGTGTGCCTCCCCTCCCTGAGGAAGTCAGAATGGAGAGAGACCAAATACCAGGAATTCAGGTTCTTTCCTCATGGACCCCCCGGTTCTCCGAAGCTGGCTTTTAGAGACCTGCATCAAACCCCTCGTGTCCTTGGGCTCAGCAGCAGCGTTTGCTGTGACCTCCTGCACTCTCTCTGTCCTCTTCACGCGCCACTGTCAGTCCCATCTTGATCTGTCCATTGCCCAGTTCTTCTTCCTTGGCTAGTTTCCAAGCTGTTCCTGGTCAGTGTCCCAAACTGCCAAAGTCTTTTTGGATCCTAAGCCTGTCTTTTGAGGCAAAAGCTTCATTTGCCAGTTTTGGTCTTCTGCCAATGTATAGCACTTGCTCTGTATTTATGCGTCCCAGTTACTAATGGAAACACGGAGGGTGTTTATCTGCCTTTTGGACCGACTGGGCCCTCAAGGGGGGGAAAAAAACTCCGGGTTCTTCCCCTAAAGCTTTTAGTGCCTAGTTCCCCTTTTCCCGCTAAATTGTTTCCGTATGGAACAAGCAGTTGGGAGATGATTTCACCTCTTGTCATCTTTCCTATGTCTTCCTTGAAGTGGATAAATTCCTCCTGGCTATTATTGGTTCCCTGCCACTGTCTGTCTGTCTTTCTCCCCGCTCCTCCCCTCCTTATAGATCTCTACATCACATCAAATTGTTTTATTTTTCCTATCACCAAAGTTGCCTTGCACCTTGGATCCTCAGCCAGCTCTTCCCAGTTAATGAGGGTCCAATTATGAGAGGCAGCCGCCCCACCGCCTGCATCCTCTGCCGTTAGGGTGACTTCTCACTGGTGAATGTCAGCTGTTGTGGTTGTCTCCTAGGAAAGGCATGTACTAAGGACTTTGTGGTTTGTATCTGAGCAGTTCGGGGTGCCCTTGTCGGGGGGAAGGAAAGAGAGGGGCATTTATTTTTATTATTTTTTTTTGCTTCTGCAGAGGAAAGCCTGGAGCCTGGTCCCCTGAGCGAGGCTTGTCATTGGGCTGGGTTCACAGCGAAGCAGGAATGGCAGGAATTTATGAGGCCGCTGCTCCCAGAGAGCGGTTGCCCCGCTTGGAGGGGGGATTTCACAGTAGCAGATATTTTGGGCTCATTTGTTAGTGTCTCATTTATACCATCTGCATGAAAATAAACAGAAGCTGCAGGCAGGGCCTATCATTCCGGGAACAGTGGGGCCTGGCTTCCATCTCCCAGAGATGGCGTAGGCAGGGAACACACAGGAGCCTCTGGGCTGTTTTTCCTGGGGTCTACCGTGGGAACCAACCAGCTGGAGGTTGGCGATGAGCACCCAGACTTCCAGAGGTAGATCCCGACCCTGCTCACTGAATTTTGTTCCACCGCGAGTTTATCATTTGTTCCTTCCTTCCTTTGCATATTTACAATCCAGTAAGAAGTTGAGGATGACTCCTTTTGTGCCAGAAATGATGCTACACGCCGGGGTCATGTGGGTCAACCAGCCATGACTGCTGCTTTCCCCCTGAAATCACCCTTCCACTTGCTCAGTGGCCACGTGGCATATTTTGCCACGCAGGAAAAACGTGGTCCTTCCCTTTGAGGGAGGTTCGGGGGCTTCTGGCCCAGGAGGGGATTTTGCTCTGTATTTTTGCTGGTGTGTGGGACCCCCGGCCCCTCTTTGGGGTTTGTATTCAACTGAAGCACTAGGCACAGAGCATATTCCAGCTTCACATCTCCGGTCTGTTTAGAGTAGCTCAATTAAGCATCTTTTTGGGGGTCATTGACTCCTCGGGGCATCCGTTCAGGTTCTAGAAAAGGGGATTTTGTAGGGTTTTCTCCTCTTCTGAGAAGGAAATGTGAGTTTCCTTTGTCAGTTTGGCTCAGGTAGCCAAACACCAACTCCTTCTGCCTGCCAGGCATCCCTTTGCCACCCAGGAATGAGTCCTTACACTGGCCATTTTCTTGTTTTCCCGGGAGGAAGCCTGGGAGCCGGGCAGCTCATCTACCATGCCCTGGAGCAGCCTCCTGCCATGGCACCCTGTGGGCCTCACCTTGAACTTCCGATTTGCAGGCCCAGCTCCAGGGAGTAGAGGGGAGACTCTTCCTGATCCTGGACTCAAGTCCTGCTCAGGTTTAGGGAGGGTCACAGCACATTGACCAATTGCATGTGAGACGTATCGGGGGCCACTTTTATGTCTGGGCTCCCACCCAAACTGCCACCGGCTTATTCAGGGAGCTTCCCAAACCCGGACCTTAATGGGAGGCAAAGTAGAGGGTCCTCTGTGCAGGAGAATGATCCTCCACTCTGGGCTAGCGTCTGAACAACTGCCATTGAAGGTCATCTCTTCTGCATGAACTCTCTTGGAACCCAGGAGTGGGGAAAGGGCAGGACCTAGAATCCAGGGCCCAGGAGCTTAGCTCTGGGTCTTTCCCGTGCTGGCTCTGTGACCGTGCCAAGTCATTCGCCCTCTCTAACCTTCACCTTCACCTCGTGCACAAAATGAGGATGTGGTTTAGATAAGCACGGGGCCTCCTCCAGCTCTCAGACTGTAAGTTGATGAGAATGAGTCTCAGATCCTTTTCTGAGATGGCCTGGAGGACGTGCTCAGGCTGGGGAGAACGGACGTGACTTCTTGCTCATCGTCCGATGGGTGGACGGCTAAGTGGACGAATGAATGAATGAATGATTGAATGAATGGTAGGAGCCCTGGAAGGGACCGGATACGTCTGGCTTTATTGGAAGACGAGCTTTCTGCACTGCCTGCTGTGCCTTGTAGTAATCACTTCTTACCCACGAGCTTCTCCCGGAAAAGAGGGGAGAAATAATTCTCTCGATGTTGACCTGTCTAATTTCTGTCTGCCTTTCATGCCTGAATCCGTCTTCCCTTGCAAACCCTTTGGGTCTGGCCCAGCCAGAATACGTGTTTGCTTTGAGAAGCAGGAGACTCAGGAGGACTTTGCTGGTCCTGGGCTCCGCTGGGGAAAGCACAGGCTAATTAATTGCCTCTCCTTTGCCTCAATCTCCTCCTCACAGACTCCAGAGGCACACACACTCACCTTTCACTTCGATTTGCTTCATTTCATATTCAGGGTGTCTTAACAAGTGTGCAGAACGGGATGTGTGATTTGAGGGGAGGCACCATGCCAGGCCCAAAATAGCTCCCTCTTAAACAGGTGCAGAGATGCTTGAGATTCCACTGTTATAAACCATCCTCTTGGGAGGCAGTAGGTTGTGGTTTAAATCCCAGCTCTTCCAGTTTCAACTGTGTGCAGTCTTGAGTGAGTTATCTTCCTAAGCTCCGGCTTTTTCCTTTGTGTCATGGACACTGACCCAGTCCCTATGGGACTGTAGGATTAAGCAGTGCCAAGCACATGGCGAATGCTTGCATCAATAAGCCGATGGTTGGATTAAGCATTACCTTCAGTGCCAAGGAGAACTTTGATGTGGATTAAGATTCCCTCTATAATAAAATAAGGGCAGAGAGAGACACTGGGAAAGGAAGGGGTGAAGGGGACATTAGTGAAAGAAAGGATGAGGTCCTGGCAAGACATGGGGCCTTAAGCCCCTCCTAGCACTTCTTCCGGCTGACAGCACGTGTCTTCTCCTCCCGCCTACTCCAGGCTGGACTGCCACTCCTGCTATGATGCCTGGGCAGATCCCGGACCCTTCCGTGACTGCGGGCTCTCTGCCAGGGCTCGGCCCCCTGACCGGACTCCCCAGCTCAGCCCTGACTGCAGAGGAGCTGAAATACGCTGACATCCGCAACATCGGGGCCATGATCGCCCCCTTGCACTTCCTGGAGGTGAAACTGGGCAAGAGGCCTCAACCTGTGAAAAGCGAGGTGAGTGAGCCTGTCCTCCCAGGCAGCGTCCAGGAGTGGGACGCCCGGGTTAGAGTCCCAGGACTAGCCCTACAGCCGCTGGGCGACCTCAGCGGTACTGTTCATCGTGGGGCCTGGGGACCAGTAGCATCTATGCAACCCGGTGGCCTGTTAAAAATGCAGAATCTCAGGCTCCACCCCAGACCTTCGGAAACAGAGTCTGCGTTTTAATGAGTTCCCTTGGGGAGTTCACGGACATGGTAAAGTGTGAGAGGTCCTGGGCGGGGACAGGATGCTGAACCTCTCTGATTCTTTGAGGGCCAAGGGTAGAGTGATTAATAATAATGAATATAACATATTGGGCCCAGCTGGAGTGACTCAGTTGTTTGAACGTTGTCCCATGCACCAAAAGGTTGCTGGTTCAATTCCTGCTCAGGGCACACATTTGCAGGTTTGATCCCCAGTCGGGGAGTGTACAGAAGGCAACTTAGCGATGTTTCTCCCTCCCTCCCTCCCTTCCTCCCTCCTTCCCTCCCTCCCTTCCTCCCTCTAATCATGTCCTCTGGTCAGGATTAAAAAATAATGAAATAAAAAATGTAGTGTCTTAAAAATAATAATAATATATTGGCAGTCTCGTTGGGGTGTTGGGAGGATCAAGGGATATCGTGGAACTGTGCACATGCTTTGGAAAGTATACAAGAGAACACTAATACTGGGTTATCTTTCAAATCATCGTTAGTCATGTCATTGCTCTAATACCCTTGGCCCCGGGCTGCAGCTGAAGGTGGGAACTTGGAGGAAGGATGGTGTGGCCTTTCTTCTCAAGGAGCTGCCAGAGCTGGGCTCGGCCTCAGCCACTCACCTCGTCTGCCTCAGATGTTTGCAGGGGTCCCACACAGGGAGCACTCCCTCCTCGGGTCCCTTGCAGCTGTCGCTCATGAGCCTTGCTTGCAGAAGAGCTGCTTTTCCCTGGGGACTAGTGAGAAGCAGAAGTGCGAGTGCGGGGTGAGCATTGGTGCTGGGAATGCCCCAGCCCGCTTTCCCAGGGCTTGTGATTTGGCCAAAGGTTTGACGGAATAGCTGCCACTTGGAAGGGAGAAGGAGCCAGTGGTGGGAGGGGAGAGGAGGCTGGGGACAGGTGTGGGGGACAGGACATGGGAAGCAGCTGCTCAGCCGTTCTGATGAGGAGCATTCACAGACAAAGGTGCCCTGGAGGGGACTCATGCTTTAGGTTGAAGCTCGGAGGACTCGACATTCCAAAGCGGAGGCGCTCTTGCGAAGAAAGAGGTTGTGGAGAAAGGGGTCTGGATCCTGGCAGAGGGGAGTTGGGAGTATCATGCAGCTACTGCTCGGCCCTCGCTCTCCCCAGGAATACCATGAAAACTGAGAGAAGGGCCGCCGGGGGGTGATGAACTGGCCATGGGCATCCTGGATCCGGCTCTCCGATGTGTTTTGTTTGGCCCACACAATGTTTTAAAAGACACTTGAACCAACACTTCACTTAAAAAGTTGGACTTTAATCTTTGATTAAAAACTGGGAAGATCTGCTCACAGGTGCCCATGGCAATGGCTACACAGAATGTTGAGACCCCCTCTCTTCTTTCCTCTTCCCCGTTTGCCACAGGCCACCACACCTCCCTATTATTCTTCATTTTTCTTTTTAAAATATATTTTTATTGATTTCAGAGAGAAAGGGAGAAGGAGAGAGAGACAGAAACACCAATGATGAGAGAGAATCATTGATTGGCTGCCTTCTGTACGCCCCCCACTGGAGATTGAGCCCACAACCCCAGGCATGTGCCATTGACTGGAATCGAACCTGGGACCCCCCCCCCCCCCCCCCCCCCCAATTCTGCAGGCTGATGCTCTATCCACTGAGCAAAACCAGCCAGGGCAATTCATTTTTCTTCCACTGTTGGTTTTGCTTTTGTTACCACCAGCTGCTTTCATTTACTTAACTGCCTGGCCCCTATTGTAGACATTTGCACTTGAGGCACCTGAATTAGGTGCATTATAGATGCCCACTAATGATTTCAAGATGAGAGTTGATGGTAATGACATTCTTGTGAATGAACATTGTGGATCAATGTGCTGTCGATAAATGAACATTGTAGATCAACATGCTGTCGATGGCACTTCTTGGCTCCTTCTCCCTTCCAGGTGGGCAGCTATGCTGTTGGGTGGGGACCTCAGGCCTTTGGCCAAATCGGAAGCCCTGGGAAAGTGGGCCGGGGCGTCCCCAGCACTAATGCTCACCTGTCCTGGGGGCTTCTGTTTTCTTTTCCGAGGGCCCTTGCCTTTGGATCCTTGCTATTCATCTTCCCAGGCTCATATCTCGAAAGCACCAGGCTCAGGGGTCATTCCACAGTGTAATCACCCTTAAACCAGTGCCCGAGGTGCATCACCGGGCTGCTGCGGCTTCAGTGTTTATGAAAGCCTTCGCCAGGGGCTGGACCCCTGAAGCTTTGCCTGGGAAGTGGAGTGACCACCTCTTCCCTCTACAAAAGGTGCTGGAGAAGCCTTCTTTTTTTGGTGGTGGTGGAGGTGGTGGGGGCGGCCTTTATTTGGGTTGAGTATTTTTACATTTTGCAGCCTCCCCCACATTGGTGGCATATACCCCGTACCTGGCAGTGACGTGCTGTCTTCACAGACACCCACAAACGCACACCATCCGAGCCGTGAAGATAACCAGCCTCTGCTGGGCGTATTTGCATGCCTCTCCCTCCTGTCACCCTGCAGCATTGTGGGGGCGGGGGGTTGGGGGGGCGCCGATGAAGTAGACTGCTGGCGGGAAGTAAGGACAGCTCCTCCCTGAGAACTCACCTCCAAATGCTTTCTGGGTTCGACTCAAGGGGGTGGGGGGTTTGGGGTGCGGGTGCTTACTCTTAGAGCAACTACAACAGAAAGCGGTGGGGAGAGACCTTGTCACTGCAGAACCACATGTCCCAAATACTTCGTTGCATATAGCAAATGGCCTTCAGTGGATTTTCACACAGGCATTTTAGTCAAGTTCCTTGGATTATAAAATATTGACTATCTACTAGGATGTGTGCTGTTTAACATCATGTGTGATCTCGTTTATTCCTTTCCTGATCTATCCTGGTGACTGGGTTTTTCCCAGGTTAGAGAAGAGGAATAGGAGGTCCAAGGAGGAGGGAAGGGGTCAAGTCACTCAGGAAAGTGGCAAACTGGCGTCTGGGGTGATGGCGAGGCTGCTGCTGCAATAGTCACGTCTCGGATGCACTGAGCCAAGCAGCAGGCACGGTGCTGGACACTCTTTGTGCAACGTCTCATTGAACTTGGAAGTACTAATTACTGTTACCGTTATTACTGTTATGCCCACATGATGGATGAGGTTAAAAGGCCTGGAGAGGGCCAAGGTCATGCAGCTGGAAAGCGAACTTCAGAGCCAAAGCTTTACTCACCTTATGCTGCCGCTGCCTCTTTTATCAGGTTGAGGAAGGGGGTGGGGTGGAATGAACCCGGCCAGGAACATTGGATCACTGATGACCTGGCCCAGTTAGTGCTGAGTCTAGCAGTTCTGTGGCCGCATTGTCTCCCAGGCTTGGAGAGCGAGTGGGCTGAGCGGCCGTGCAGGCAGCCCGGCCAGAGCAGCCTCTGGGACTGTCCGCCTCGCGGAGACCAGTAGTCTCTTGGGCCATGTGCAAATCCACGAAGCGATTCGGTAAAAGAAAACTGGACGCATTAAGTTAAACAATAGGTGTTTTGTGCTGATGTTGTTAGGTGGTTGACACGTAATGCTAAGCTGTTTTTGCGGTCCATTTGTCCAACAGATATTTGCTAGGCACACCTACTATGTGCCAGGCACTGTGCCAGACACTGGGAACTGAACTGTAAGCCGAGTAGACAAGCTCCCCCCACCCTTTCTCCTGAAACTGTGTAGTGTAGTGGGGGCATCCAGAAATAAAAGGTCATGGAGTAAGTCAATGTTGTGAAGAAAAATTAAGCACACCAAGTGGGTGGTGAGTGGCCAGAGAGTTGGTTTGGATGGCTGGTTTGGGTCTGAGGATGCTATATTTTGGGACTTTTAGAGTGAGCACATGCTTCTTTCTTGCCTTTTTTTTAAAAAAAAAACAAACAAAACTGAATTGATTGGGGTGACATTGGCTATTTATATAGGTTGCAGGTGTATAGTTCTATAACATATCGTCTGTATATTGTATTGTACGTTCACCCTGAGTGAAGTCCCCTTCCATCACCAATTTCCCCCTCTTTCCCCTCTTCTACCTCCCGCCACCCACCTCTTCCTCTTCTTTCTTGCCTTTTGGTTCTTCTTTCCTTTCCAACATTTCTTCTCAAGGCAGTTTTGCTCTCTGGCTTTCTCTAGAGCTTTTCCTTCTACACATTTTATTCTGTAGCCCGTTCCAGCTGGACTCCTTAACCAGTCCCCATCGGCCTGAAGATTGTGGTCCTTCCTGAGTAATCTGTGAGGGGGCTGCTGTGGCTGCAGGGGCCAAGCCCTGCCTCCGAGCTTGGAATGCATTTCCAGTGTGGCTGGTGGGGGCAGGGGCAGATGGGAAGGCCACAAGTTCCACACACATGTACCACACACATGTACACAAGTTCCACGCACAAGTTCCACACACATGTACACACCAGGCACTTACCTAACCACCTGCTAGTTGGGACCCCTCCCTCTGGGCCACTGCAGGGCTCTAAAGGGATCTCGAGTTAAAGGAAGTAGGACTGGATGACTTTGTAGGAAAGAGGCTGCAAACTGTCATTCCATGGGCAGGAGTCAGCCTACAGATGAATCTTGTTGGCCCTCACAGTATTTTTTTTTTTTTTTTAATTGAATGAGTTGCTATATTTAAAAGCCAGGAAATGTGAACTTTCTGGCTTCTTTAAAAAAAACCAGACTATCTGGCCACTCTAGGCCCACACCCTTATATGCAATGAAAGCTACCGCCGGGTGGTAGATGCTCACTGTATCAGCATGCAGTCTTCAGTTGACCACAGACCCCACTGCTCCCTGTTGCCTTATACCCAGCCCATTTCAC